GATGCTGCACAGGAGAGACCCCCTCATGATTGTAAAACACTTTGGGTGTACAGCAATACACAATAAAGCGCTATATAAAAATGCTTCATTCATTCATTCACTTTGGATAGCTTTGCTATGTTTAAATGTGCTATATAAATAAAATTTACTTAGAGTAATTCATTACAGAAAAAAAGAAATGAATAATATTTTACTTACATCAATAAAATAATCTTGCAGGTTTTTTTTTTTGTCAGTTCACCCAAAAATGAAAATTCTCTCATCATTTACTCACCATTGTTGTTCCAAACCCACACTCTAAAAAATGTTGGGTTGTTTCAACCCAACTTTTGGGTTAAAAATGTAATGTAAAAATTTAACCCAACGGTTGGGTTAGTCCATATTTGACCCAAAGTTGGGTTGAAACAACCCAGCATTTTTTAGAGTGCATAAGACTTTCATTCATCCACACACAAATGAACATAATTTTAATGAAACCTGGGTCCATTACACCAAAATGTTGATGCTTCGAAAGGTTCATAAAGGCATATTAAAAGTAATCAATTTGAAATAGGAGGTTAAATCCAAGTCTTCTGAAAACTACCCAATTTATATGGATTTCTCATCTCTTTAAGAATTTTTTAAAGCATCAAAGTTTTGGTGTAATGGATATTTTTGGGTGAACTAACCCAATGCATTGAAAATATTGCATTAAAATGCATCAAAAATAGACTTTATTATTTTGATTGATGGATCAGATTATGTATGCAGATTATGTTCAAAAACAATGAAAAACTTTCCATTGTTTGTTGCCCAAATCTAGCAAATCAACAACAATAGTAATGTTCTGTTAAAATAGCTCAGCCTATTTCCCATGAACCCGGTTTCCCCACTGGACTCTTAAGGTCAAGTGGCCTTCTCAACTAAAGGAAAGGTGTGAGGTGAGAAGAATGTCTGGAGCGTTTGGAACCTTAATGTCACAAAGTTTAGGCTAACAGTGTTTTTAGCAGATCCACTATAATGAAAAATAGCAGACCACTAACAACACTACAGAACTCCAGAGAAACTCTAACCATTTTGCAGAGCTGTCCACCAAAGTTGTTGAGATGCGTTAAAAACTTTAAAGGGTTAGTTCACCCAAAAATGAAAATTCTGTCATTAATTACTCACCCTCGTGTTGTTCCAAACCCATAAGACCTTCGTAGAATATTGTAATTATATTTTTAAAAAATTATAAAAACGATTAGAAATATGATTGTTATACAAATTATTCAATTATTAACATTTATTGTTAGATATATTTAAATAGATTCCTATCTGCAGTTCACGGTATTACATAAAGCAGTTAGTAGTCGTGTTGCGTCCTCTAGCGGCCATTAGAGCATCCGTGTTTCTGTCCAACAATAAGCTTGAGGTGTTTTTGCATAACCGTCTTCTGAAATAAATATCAGGATTATATAGGTGTAATATTAATGCATTGCATATCTATTCCATTTTGTGATTTGCTGCTTTGCAGTTGATGTTTGCTAGTTTTATATTCGTCATTTCTAAAAAATGCTAAGCACTAGTTTAATATATAATGTAACATTAAATATTAAAATGTAATTAAAAATATATGTTGTTGGGAATTGCGAAAACAAACAAACAAACAAACAATGAATTCAATATGTTTTCGGACAGACAAGACATATTTGTATTGTTCCATGTTTTACCACAGGACGGTTTCAAACTATTATAAACACCCATGCAGAGAACAATGGGTTAGAAAGCAGACTTGCAGATTTGTCTCCTTGTTTGTGATTTGGTAATGAAAGGAATAACAAAGCAGCCTATATAATGTCAGCGTAATTTTGTATTTTGTTATTTTTCTGACTGAAGAAATGTCATTTTTAATTATGATGAACTACTCGTGACAGTAACCTCATCATACTTTTGAAAAGTATGTGTTGTTTTATTTAGATACCAATAGAGCATGTAGTGATTTAAAAAGAACTCACCCAAAAATAAAAAAAATTGGCCGAAAATGTACTGAACTCAGGTCATCCAAGATGTAGATGAGTTTGTTTCTTCATCAGATTTGGTGAAATGTAGCATTTCATCACTTGTTCACCAAAGGATCCTCTGCAGTGAATGGGTGCCGTCAGAATGAGAGTCCTGATAAAAACATCACAATAATCCACAAGTAATCCACACCACTCCAGTCCATCAGCTAATGTCTTGAGAAGAGAAAAGCTGCATGTTTGTAAGAAACAAATCCATAATTACGTTTTTAACTTCAAACTATTGCTTCTGGCCACTTTATTTATTTATTTATTTATTTATATTAAAATAGAAGCTCACACTAAACTCGCAGTGTTTGGGACTTGATGTACAGGAAAAAAGCGAAGGGTTTTCCACTTTTTTCCCCCCAAATACTTGAAAATACTTCAAATACTCCTTGCCAGTCTATTGCAGGTATCAAGGTGTCAGGTTTGGGCTGGTTAGCATTAGCAGCTCCTGCTGGTAGACCATGAAACTACACCATCTGGAACCATGTTTCTATTCATCTCTATTCAATATTAGCTGTGTATTCAGATAAAATATATGTTGTTTTGCTAGCAACATTTAAATCACTATGCTAATCATGTAGGTAAGCTTTAGCTCTGTTGGGTTGGGTTGAGTGATGCTGGCTGCTCCTCTGTCAGGCGCGGGACAGGAAGTGACAGGGTGTGCAGCCTGAGGGGCCGAGTGTGGCGTCTCTGGCTGGTCTCAGGCACATAGTGACATTTACCGGTTACTCTGCATGCAAAATCAAACACGACTGTGTAATGGTAACGTTCCTTCTGCCTAGAGGAATTATTTAGTTCTCAAAGGCTTCTCTTTCATAGTTCATAAAGCTTAATGGAGTTCTCAATTACGCTTCATCTAAATATACCATAATACAATTTCAAAATGTATTTCAGGGGCAAGAAAATACATTTCCAATCTTAGAGTATAGCCTACATTTAGGCTTTATTCATTATTTCTTTTTATTCAAATGTGTTATATGTTCACATGATGCCTTTCTTCAAATGTGACATATGTGAATGTATTTTCTTGGAGTGAAATATATGGAGGACAAAAAATATTTTTTAAAGTTTTTAAAAAATATTTTTATATTTTTAAAATATACATTCAAAAAGACACAAAAATGGCCAAAAATATACTGGCAGAAAATATTTACACATATTTTTAATTATTTATTTATTTATTTATTTTATATTTTGAAATATATATAAAAACATTTTGAAAATATATTTTTGCCATGTTGGTTTGTGCTTTACGTAATCTCATATGAGTCTTGGAGAAGGAATTGAGATATTAAAGCTTTCCTATTTTTATTTCCGTCAGGAAGACACAGTAGTTAGGGGAAAAGCGTGAAAAACAGAAAAACTAGTTCAATTTTCTGAAGAAAATATTTTAAATGGTTGTTAGCATGCATCAAGATGGTTGCTAGCTTGTCTATATTAGTTATGGCACTTCATCTAGTGGTATTACAATACAACAATGCAAACATTTAAAATTTCCACCAAATTTTGAAAGAAGCAATGTAGCTTAAAAAGAGAAAAAGTTAACTACAAATAAATACAATTTGGATTTAGCATCAACGTTTCAAAAAATGTGTTCTGTGTTTTATGGCCATTATGTGAGACCACACTCTAAAAAATGCTGGGTTAAATACAACCCAGTGCTGGGTAAAATAGGGACAAACCCAGCAATTGGGTTGTTTTGACCCAGCGGTTGGGTTAAATGTTTAACCCAACCTTCTGTGAAAGCGTGACTCACATCACTTTTAAACTACAGTGTTTCTAGAAGCGACAAAAAAAGAGAAACCATGAACCTATTATTAGATGACAGGCTGGCTACAACATGTTAGTTTCTTCCCAGATGAGAGTATTGCATAAACACATAATACAAATCAGCAGTCTGAAAAACATGTGCAAATGTCACAGTTCAACTTTCAGACAGTGGCCGTGACATTTCACTTAACCTTCCAACAATATGACAAGCTAAATGTAATGATGTAAGACCCATCTCAAAGTGTCTCCAACACACTTATCCTCTTTCTGAGGTTACACATATGTGCAGCAGGCCACACATGTCAGTGTGACTGCGGTTCATTAGTTCTCACTGGAGGGTTTCAGAAACAGAAACACATGGTTTCCGTTGGCCCACTTCCTCTGGTTAATGCATTTTAATACAATTCATCTAACAAACATCTAATCCAGTGACTTCTGGCAACACCTTGAATGCAATGAGGCTTTGAGGACACATCGAAGTGTTTGGTATCAGCTAGCTAAACACAAGAGAGCCCGACTCGAGTGGAAACCGGCGTGGGCCACACCTCGCGCCCTGAAAGAAGGTAAGGAAGTAGGCTTGTGACCACAATGCATCCTGTCCTTCTGAAGTTCAAGGTTTCAACACGAAACAGTGTCTCATGGGAACAACCAGCAAACGTTGTACTGCATTGTAACTAAAGCACTATTTACGTTCTCATTTCCATTCTGAAATCAAGTCACATTTCACATATTAAATATTGATACATGGCAAAATGTATATTTGGGAAGCTTAACGTGACCCGGAATGGATTTATTTACAATAGAAAGGTGCAAGAGTTCTCAAACAGACACATATGACTGATACAATTCAGTTTAGATTTATAATGTGGCATTATTTGAGCTCTCGGTGTATAACTGATAAAAGTCTCCAACGGCAACATCGGGTTCACATGTCTTGCAACTAAAGTCACATTAACTTTATTTACTCGCAACTTTTAGTTGTGAACCAGCTATATTTAAAAAACAAGAGTAAGGTTTTCTAGCGTCTAGACAAAATATACTCTCTGAAAGCAAAACTTTACCAGTCTTCAGTAAGTTCAATAGACTTTCATCCGAGTTGTTTTCATGCACAGACGCGACAATAACAGCACCGGTCGATAAAAGACATTCACATCAAACTGAACGGGAATAAAAACAGCATTATAACCCAATTCAATATTTTACCTTTGAAAACAGACGCTTGGCGCTGCACAGGCGGTTAGTAAATAACCTGTGTGTTCATAGTGAAGCCGCTCAGTGTGGACAGACGAGACTCCAGTTTAACTCTGACGGATCAGAGCACGAGAACAACACTAGCGCGCGCAGTTGCGGTTCACAGCTCAGAGCTCACAAATAGTTTCACTGTAAATGTAAGAGCTGTAAAATTAATCAAATATAAATATTTCAATTTGTTTTTATTTTAAAGAACTTTTAAATACAGAAGTGTATTATTATTTTATACACGATTATTATTATTGTATTATAGTTAACCCAGCATTTTTTAGAGTGCATGTTTTAGTGCATTTATCCGATTTAAATTAATCTACGGATCATTTGTATGTTTATGTGTGTGTCACATAAAACACAGTACACACAACAGCACCCACTGTGCTCATTATCGTCTCATCAGTGTCACAGTGAAATAGCCATCATTTACATCAAGAGCAACTGCATTAAAACACAGATGATTCAAATGATAATGCCACATTTCTATCTCTATTTGACACGATGATCTATAAAACTGCCAGTGCTACACGTTCCCCATGCAAACCAGCACTGACAAGAGCATCCATTCCCGCTACAAAGAAGCTTGCTTGCTGTGTGAAGGGTGTAATTTCCAAACAAGATGGCGTGATGTGCGTGGCGTTTTGGCAGACGGACAATAGGAGACACCTGTGACAGGCAATGGGCCCTTTAACAAGCCAGACCGTGGCATAGCCCACGTCATTCGGCCTTCTGTGCCCCCTAAACCATATATGGCCAAAAAACCATGTCACATCCTAAACATCTGCCTGATCAGACATTAGCAAAGCACATCATTTGTGTGGAAAGATGTTTTTGGGACACATTTCGTGATAATTGTGGGGTGAAGGCTCTCTCTCTTGATTGAGTCTAAACATTGCTCTAAACATGTAGCAATGGTTGATAACAGTCCCTAACGTCTTAATTTGCTCCCCAGCAGGAGGTTGAGTAGCTATAGTGCTCTTTACCATCCTGGCTTTCGACTTGTTAAAATGATTTCTGAAAGGAGTTGAATGCAAGAAAGGAGACCAATCGCGGTGTAGTATGCAAATATTACGACGACATCATTACCGTTGGTTAGATTTTGAATGGTGAAATTTGTGACCATTTAAGTAATCCTAACAATGAATTCACTGATGTCAGTTTGATTTAGAAAATTCCAAAAATGTAACTGATTCATACAGTGAACTCATCGTTGCAGTTTAATCTTGAATGCTGATATCGATTAATTTAGAATTGCTGGTTACACTCTAAAAAATGCTGGGTTAAATACAACCCAGTGCTGGGTAAAATAGGGACAAACCCAGCAATTGGGTTGTTTTGACCCAGCGGTTGGGTTAAACATTTAACCCAACTGCTGGGTCAAAATAGTCCAATTGCTGGGTTTGTCCCTATTTTACCCAGCACTGGGTTGAATTGAACCCAGCATTTTTTAGAGTGTAGACTTTGAATGGCGAAAATGTAGACTTTTACCAATGAAGCCAAAAATTCTAACAATTTCAGTAATTGTAACAATAAATTAAAGCAGATTTTAAAAACATAAGATAACCTGAACTGAAGTCATTCTAAAACCAATTTCAATTATTTTCTAATTCAATTTTTTTTAATAGTGAATATTCTAACAATTTATATAATTCTGCTGATTAATTCATTGTTAGACTGTCAATGGTGAAAATTGGCAAAAAAACCCCCCAAACTATTAAGTAATTCTGCCAATCAATTCGTATTTGGTTAAATTCTACATTTTAACAATTTAGGTAATTGTAAAGACAAATTCATCTGTTGATTTTTAAAGTCAAATTATTTATGTAATTCTAACAATAGAGTCAACATGGTAAAGGTTTTGAAATTTTTAGTTTTAGTTAAGTAATTTTTTAATTAGTGAAATTTTAGTTAGTCGTTTAGATTTTGAATAGCAACGATTTTAATAATTCAAGTATTTCTACAGATGAATTCTTCACTACTGATTAGAGTTTGAATGTTGAAAATTCTAACTATTTAAATACTTGTAATGACAAATTCATCATTGTTGATTCTGAATGCCGAAAGATATAAATATTTAAATCTTAATTAAAAGCATATTCATCGCAAGATTCAACAAGATTCTAACAATGCAAGTCATTCTAAAAATTTATTGATTGTTGTAAGTAAAATTTTGAATGGTGAAAATTTTAACATTGGAATTTTGTTACATTAATAGAATATTGGACATTCAACTAAAAAACAGCGATTACTTTAAATTGTGATTGGTTTTCTTGCTTTAATTTTGTATTGAATTGTAAATGGTCTTTTCTTACATCTGTTTAACCATATATAGCCACCTTTAAGCCACGATCACACTAGACTTTGAGTAAAAATATCATAGGAAACTGAAACAGCTATTATATAATGTCATGAATCTTAAAAAAAAAAAACACATTAATTCAACATATACCAAATAATAATGAATACAAAATATACAATCTACTGTACTTTCCTGCAACACTGCAATCTTGAGGATTTAAAGTTTGCAATTTTTTTCAAAATTTGTATTATTTTTTTTTAATTTAACTTTAGTCGTGCCTTGATTTCTTGTTCTTCTTTTGGTTACACTTGATACAAATTTGCAGATCAGAGTTCACCAAACTTAAACTTTAAATCGCAGTGAAGTTTGCATGAGATTGCGTTTCACATGCGCAGGAATAGAAATCAATGGAATAAACAAACTTTATTGCTTCCCTGCAAGCACCAGGATTTCCTTCAGGAAATGCAAATTGTCTGTTGATTTATGTGAATGAATCGGTAAGATTGAGGTTTGTACATTCCATAAACAGCACTTCTTCATTTCATTGGGAGTTCAAGAAATGTCAGTTTCCTCTGTTTTAGGGTCAGATCAGGCAGTAAGTACGCAGTTAGACTGTCTCAGATCCCATAAATACATTTGGCTCTGTTGACTCCCTGATGCGATAAAGGCTGCAAAAGCCCTCAAGCGCTGATGTCTGCGTGACCCTCGACTCCATTGGTCAGAGATGAGACTTCGATTGCGCCGGGCCACCCTCTCCAGTCCTCCCTGCATATACAAATGGAGAGGGGGGTGCAATGAATGTCAGCCCAATTTATGTTTACTCAACTAAAATGGTTGACGGATGTGGAAATCGAAACCGTCTGGCAAACGTTGCCCGCCCTGTATATTCACCATTTTTACATCTAATGGTGGAATCGAGTTGGACTGAAGTGGGCGAACATGAGAGATCACATTATTGATACAAACAGACTGTAGAGTACGGGCCACCTGTCCGCGCATCTCCTGGTCTCCATTAGGTCCTCTTCAGCCTAACTCTGCAGTAATGGCTTCCCTGGGAGACTTGATGAGCCCCCAAGCCACTTGTGTGAGGTTAGGAGGCCGGCGTGGACGCGTGCCACAGCTGCAGCCATTATCCAGAGGAAGTGGACATCGTGAATGAGCGCAACAACACCCATTGCTTCCACGTCACAGCCACAGGCTGCCATGTTTACCGAAATGGCATTGATCCAGCTTTATGACGGCGTCGGCTCTCCGGTCACGCCGCATTTCAGAGGCAATTTACTCGCATCTGCTCCGATAAGCAATTTCAGACACAATGTCTTATTTGTGTTGTGTCGTCTCACACATTTCATGACAGAAAGCCTTTTATCGCCACATGCAAACATCATTCTGCACTCTGCTGTGGAATTGATCTGTCTTACCTTGTCATTTCTCACAATTTCTTAGTCACTCAAAACTGTTCAAATGCAAAAAAGGGTAAAGCATATTACCTAGAAGACCTAGTGTCCTTTTTGTAGGTATGACTCAAATCTGTGTATTGAGGATAAGCTGGAATCGTAGTTTTAAAGAAATAATTCCAATGGAATGACATGAGGTTGAGTAAATAATGGCAGAATCATTTCATTTTTGGGGTGAACTGTCCCTTTAAATTTTGGATTATTATGCTTCCTTCACATGCTATCAGAATTATCATAAATACGAGTTTCCTAGTCAAAAATCAGACATGAACGGCCTCTCAAGCAGTGCTGGGTAGTAAATGATTACATGTAATCTGGATTACATAATCAGATTCCAAAGATGAATACTTGTAATTTGATTATATATTTTAAAATAATCGTAATCAGACTACGGTTACTTTTTATTATTAATTTTTATCAATATGGTACAAGATTATCCTATTTAAATCAATGTGATAATCGAGTTAGGTCAAAAGTAATCAAAAAGAAGTCAGATTACGTTACCTAAAATGTGTAATGTAATGGTTTATGTTACTAACTACAATTTTTGTCATGTAATTTGGAATCAGTAACGGACAACAATATGTAAGTAATCTACCCAGCACTGCTCTCACAACTGCTCGCCAAGTTGGGGAGAGCTATAAACTTGAAACATGACAGAGGGGAGACATATAGCTGCAAAATTTTATTCGTTTTCCCCACAACATCTGCATTGCTTTCTCTTGCCGTTACAGTCATGTATATTTAACCATTTGATGCATATTGTATGTGTTGAACACAGAGAAACTAGCATTTATTTGACCGAAATTCAAGATTCACCAGCCAGTTGAATATCTACATAGCGCAGTGAATGTTTCTGTGGTTACTAATGAATGGGATGCTACATTTTATTACAAATCTGATGGATATTGACTAAATATCGTTTGGCTTTAAGAAGAGTTCTCCAAGAAATGATGAACTCATGAATCCTCCATGATTCCTGTTCTTTCCGACAACAAAGCAATTGAAAACGAACAAACTTGTAATTGCAGAAGTGGGAAGTAGGACATTTCCAATAGCACATGAAGGCAGCATTAGTTCTGATAAGTAGCGTATTAGCAGTGTTTGGCAAGTTTAGGACTAGAAGTTTGTTCAATAAAACTGGAAGTATTAAACTTGGCATGCAACTCATCCTGGACATGAATGACTCCACCAATGATAGAAGTCACCTGGAACACCCTAGCAACCACATAGCAACATGTTAAAACCCACTTAGAACACCCTAGCAACAACATATAAAACACTTAGGACAGCCTAGCAACTGCATAGCACATCTTAAAGGGA